ACACTATTTACACTGTGGCAATGGCTAAAAAGTGGCTCGTTGCCTAGCTCTTCAAGGCTGTAAAGAGGCCTATTAACCAGCTTGTCACGTAGGGCCGTCTTAAAATCGTCTAGGTCCAGATCGCGTACATGCACCGGCAAGGAATTAAAAAACCTTATCGCAGACCGAGGATAGCTCTTCAGTGAGCGGGCTAGGCGGCATCTCGGCAAATCAATGTCACAAGCTTGACGGGTATGGTGACTATGAATATTGTCTCTCACAACAAAATGGTGGATATTAACCTTCAGCAGGATCAAGACATTGAGGACATACTGGCTATAAACAGTCAACACACCCAGCTCCAGGAAGATGGGACGACAGTGCGCTTTGTAGCCAGAAGATGTTATTATCCTCAGCGCCTTTTTCTGTAGCAGACGTAATTCCTGTGTCCATGGAGAATGGCCCCACAGAACCAGGCCATACGTGAGGTGACTGTGAAACAGCGCATGATACACCGCTAGCAAATACGGTCTGGTAATGGTGGTCCTAAGCTTCCTTAAAAGGCGGAGAACTCTTGAGAGCTTTACACATACCTTTTCAATATGGTGGTGCCAACTTAGCTTTGAATCCATCCAGAACCCAAGCAGCTTCACGCTGTTTTTCTCTAGACCGATCTTCAAGGAACATAAAAGGATCTGAGTCTTCTCCTCGTTGATCTTAAGTTTGTTGGCTATAAACCAGTCCTTGGCCAGCATCAGGGTGCTGTTTGCCTCCTCCAGCAGCGGGTCGATGTTCTTCCCCTTTGTGACCAAGGGTGTGTCATCTGCAAAAAGGAGGGCATGGCTGGTTGTAGCAAGGTCATTGATCATTATTGTGAAAAGAAGAGGGCCCAGGACCGATCCCTGCGGAACACCATGGGGAAGAGAGCCTATAGTAGAATAAGCACCCATAATTGTTACTATTTGTTTGCGGTTGCCAAGGTAGTCCGCAAGAGAGCAGAAAACTGCGCCACCGATACCATATTTTCTCAGCTTGGCCAGAAGGATGTCATGTGACACAACATCGAAAGCCTTGCTGAGGTCACAAAGGCTGAGGTGGACCGATTCATTTTCCTCAAAGGCCTGGGATATGGTGTCGACCAGGCTCAGGAGTGCGGAGGTGGTAGATCGACCACTACGAAAGCCATGCTGTGAGTCCACCAGTAGGCCATTATTTTCAAAGTATGAGAGGAGTTGTCTCTTCATCACAGTCTCCATCACCTTAGAAAAGATAGGGAGGATAGAAATGGGGCGAAGATTTTCCATCAGTGTAGGGTTTCCTTTCTTGAAGATGGGCACAGTACAGGCCTTCTTTAGAGAGTCCGGAAAAGATCCATGAGCCAGGCACAAGCTAGGAGGGTGCTAGGGGGTACCTAGCTAGGAGCTAGGTGCGTGAGAGGAACGGCCACGAGATCTGCAACAGCCCTAAGAACATGTGTAGACATCTTGAAAGATCATCCAAGAAAGGCCATAGACATCTTGGCTCTTGGAGTCTTTGAAATTCTTAATCATTTGGGATATCTCTCTTACACTCACCCTATTCCAGCAGGTAAATGAATGGACGGAGGAGTAGTCCGGCACAGAATCCAGAGGATCCGTCTGCAACACAGGTAGATCAGAGATGATGTTTCCAGCCACACTTGTAAAATATTCATTTAACTCATCAGGGGATGCTTGGATTTTAGGCCCGGGACCTGGCGCTCTTTCTTTATTGATAATGTCCCACGCAGCTTTACATGGGTTAGGGGCACTAAGGATGCATTCTGCATTAAAGGATTTCTTGGCCACATTGACTCTAACCCTATAGTTCCTCTTGATCTCCAAATAAAGAGAATAGAGCTGCCCTTTCCTACACATATCACTGGAGCCCTTATACAGGTCATGAACAAAAGCCATGTAATTTCTCATCCTCCTCAGTTCAGGGGTGTACCAACAATAGGCTGATTTGTTAAGCCTTGAACCAGAGCCAACGGAATAGACTTTACTCTTGGGGTTATATAATTAGGCTGGAAAAACATGATTAAATTCATCAAAAAATATACTAGAGAAAAGCTCAAAAGCAAGTTTAGGCTCGGTCAATGTGTACAGGGTACTCCAATCCACATTCGAGAGCTCATACCTAAACAGAGGCAAATTTTCCATACAGATGGGTCGCTTTATGATAGAGTAGTCCTTGAGCCAAGAAGGGTTTGAATTAAGGCAAGGTTTTGATTCTATGATGTTCAATAGCATTAAGAATTTAATAGGTTTAACAACAGGGTGCAGCATTATTATTATTATTTTTTATTTATGACAACAGCTAATTTGCAACCAAAAGGTGAGTGAGCGTAGCAAACGAACTTCAACCCGGAGGTGAGTTAGTGTAGCGAACGAGCTAACCTGAAGGCAAGTGAGCGCAGCGAACAAACTTCAACCAGGACTCATCTGGAAAATGAACTAGCATTTGACATAAAACCTCATTAGGACAGAACGACGTCTGTCGGGTCAGCTAGTATATTATATATTATGGACTAGATATATATATATGAGTCCGTTAGCACGATAAATATAGCAAAAATGATCCGATTTTTATGAAATTTTGGTATAAATGTGTAGGCCTAAACCTACATTTATTTGAACGAGTTCACAAACCAGCATGAGCTATGGACTATGGGAACGGGGGTTTATGGAGGGTTTTATGGGGTAAAAATATATTTTTCCCATTTTTGACTCTAAAAAGACAAAATTTAAAAATTTCTTTTCAAACCATTTTGTAGAGCTTAAAAACAAACAATTTAAAATGTTGAAGCGTTATTGTGCACCTAATGGTTCCGGAGAAAATTAAAAAGAAGTGTAAATTTAAAATTCCCAGTTATTCTTATGGAGAATAAGTCAACTGTTGTAGTTTGCTTGTTTATGAAAATAAAATATTTTGATCGAATTTGGAAAACACATTAATTTCTTACTGAACTATTTACATTTTACAACAAAAAACACTTTTTTACCCTCCCTGTTGCAGCAAACCTAAGTAGGCCTACTCGTTAAACTAATTATATTTAGGGAATAAATGTGATATTTTTTAGGAGGCATTTTAGTGTAAATCCAAACAGGCAGATAGAAATTCGCTTAGTCTGCAGGTTTGCTGTGGCGGAGGTATTTATTATTTTACTTATATATATATATATTTATATTTATAGGCCTATATTATATATATATATATATATATATATATATGTGTCCGTTAGCGCGAAAACTTCAGCAAAAATGATACGATTTGTGATAAAATTTGGCATAAACGTGTAAACCTACATTTATTTGAACCAGCATGATGGGACCATGGAAATGGGGGTTTATGGGGGGTTTTACCATTTTTTACCCAAAAATCATAAAATTTGGCGATTTCTTTCCACACCATTTTGCAGAGCTTAAAAAAACAAATAATTTAGTATATTAAAGCTTTACCATGCGCCTAATAGTTCAGGAGAAAATTCCATAAAATTGTAGATTTAAAATTCCTATGGTATTCTTATGGAGAACTAGCTGGCCCGACAGACGTCGTCCTGTCCTAATGTGGTTTTATGTCAAATGCTCGTTCATTTTCAAAATGAGCTCATTCGCATGGCTCAATCATGTCCTGGTTAAAGTTCGTTCGCTGCGCTCACTCACCTAGGTTGGAGCTCGTTTGCTGCGCTCACTTGCCTTCAGGATAGCTCGTTCACTACGCTAACTCGCCTCCAGATTGAAGTTCGTTCGCTACGCTCAATCACCTTTTGGTTGCAAATTAGCTTTTGTCATAAATTTAAAAAAATAATAGTGCTGCACCCTGTTGGTAAAACTATTAACTTTTTAATGCTATTGAACATCACAGAATCAAATTGTTTAGTTGAACCAGCTGTTAAGATTCTTTAATTCCATTTAAATATGAGTACTCATAAGCTTAACATGGGAAACTCCAAAACACTGTGGCGGAGCCTTCTTGACGGATCTGCACCAAACTTCACACAAACCCTCCTTGAATAATGCTTAATAATGCCTGAAAGTTTCATTTAATCTGTCGAGCGGTTTCGGAGTCCATAAAGGACAAACAAACAAACAAACATACATTGGATTTTATATATATACTAGCTGGCCCGACAGACGTCGTCCTGTCCTAATGTGGTTTTATGCCAAATGCTCGTTCATTTTTAAGATAAGCTCGTTCGTTAAGCAATCCCTCTATTACGTCCTGGTTGAAGTTTGTTCACTAGGCTCACTCACCTTTTGGTTGCAAATTAGCTGTTGCCATAAATATAAAAAAATAATAGTGCTGCACCCTGTTGGTAAACCTATTAGTTTTTAATGCTATTGAACATCACAGAATCAAATTGTTTGGTTGAACCAGCTGTTAAAGATTCTTTAATTCCATTTAAATATGAGTACTCATAAGGTTAACATGGGATACTCCAGAGCCACTGGGCGGAACCCTTTTGACGGATCTGCACCAAACTTCACACAAACCATCCTTGAATAATGCTTAATATTGCCTGAAAATTTCATTACAATCTGTCAAGCGGTTTCGGAGTCCATAAAGGACAAACAAACAAACAAACATACATTGGATTTTTTATATATATAGATATTGGAAGATAAGTTAACTGTTGTAGTTTGCTTGTTTATGAACATATTTTGATTAAATTTGGAAAATGCATTTATATCTTACTAAACTATTAACATTACGGTATATATATAAAAAAAAAAAAACACTTCCCAGGACCCTCTTTGTTGCAGCAAACCTAAGTACTCGTTAAAGTAATTATATTAAAATAAGGAATGAATGTGATATTTTTAAGGAGACATTTTAGTGTAAATACAATCATTCAAATGGAAATTCGTTTAGTCTGCAGGTTTGCTGTAGCGGCGATATTTCTACTTTGTGTTGTAGGAGCGCATTGGTCTTGTGCCTCCCATGTTGATACTTTTGCTAAGATTTTTTTCTACTTTGTCTATTGTTGTACTTTGTTGTAGGAGCGCATTGGTGTTGTGCCTCCTATGTTGATGGCCCACAGTCTGATGTTCCGGCGCACCCTTGATATACAGAGATCTGAAGTAAAAAAAAAATGGGATATTACTGTAACCGATATTACTCCGAAAGCCTTCAGAAATGTGCTCAGGTAAATATATTTCAAGCAAATTTGTCATCATTATTATGTTTTTTTCTGTCTCATTAATTTAAGTAAGTGAACTCATAAACTAATGAGATTCTAATTCTAATGAGAGTCAGTCATCGGTCGGTGACTTGCTGGTCAGAAATCGTTTTTCAGTGATTAGTACCAAATGTGATGGTTCAAATCTTTAAAATTAAATAATATTAAAATCTATGGACTAACATAAATTCAATAACGGAAAATCGGACGACAGTGATAGTTCTTGAGTAACAAATCAATAACTATTTGCAGAATTAAATGCCCGGAGCGCCGGTAACGAAGTACAAAGTTGCCATAAAAGACCACCAGGGGGTGCGTGTTGCAAAAATTACTCGTTTCTTGTAGTGAAGGCAGTCGGAGATAGAATGTTCAGGGAGTGAGTTGTACGTGTGCGCGGTGGATAACAGACTACGCCGACGCCATCTTGTGACACCATGTGAGTTGAGCGTGTACTGCGTAGTGACCGTTACTCGTTATATCCTCTAGTTATTCGTCATACTAGAACTATCACCACTCCACATTTTGATCGTTTGAACAGTAATAACAGTATTAACTACTTCTTATATAGTTAAACTCCAAGTAGGCTTAGTTAAGTTGTGTAACATGTGACATTTTTCGTTTCTTTCATCTACATTAAAACTACATAAACTATTACTGTGTGGTTTTTCATCAAAAATCCCGAAGCCGATCCACCTAAATAACAACAAACGAAGGGGACCGTAGTACAAAGGAGTAAATAGACATATCTTTTGTGGGAGCTCAGGTAGTCAGTTGCCATTTTAACCCTGGAGTGCTCACGCTGTTTGCTATATGGCGAGAGCTCGTGCGGGGTAAATAATATTTACCCCATAATTTTTATTGGATTAAAAAAAAGAAGTTTATTCTGAACCCATTACAAACCTCAATGTGAGCTGTATTAAATGTATACGGGTGGCGTCATCCTGTAATCCAGCTACTAGGAAGTCACGAATTGTGGATATTTATAGGCATGCGCTGTGGATGTGATACTCTCTGGTGTGGATTAACGTTCGCACGAGTTAGCACTATGACTATCCGCAGTGCTATCCTGATAATTAGACCAATTCGTATATACCAAGGCAAAAATGTGGTTCGGATTCCACTATATAAACTGTAGGTCCCTTAGTTGGCATTAGCTGTAGGGGCTATTAATTAACAGCTGTGTCTAAGGAATATGTCGGACTTAGTCAGTAACAAGACTACAGGATCGCGCCACTCTTCCTACACTCATCTCCATTCGTACTTGGCTTAAAATTCCTACTTTGTATGGTCGCCATTTCATTGAAAGTATTAAGTATTAAAGTATATACATTATTTTGAAAAAAAAGAAGAAATATAAACTTGTAAAAACAGTCAATTTATTACTCTTGATTACTAACAACCACATCGAATGATTATGGTCACCATGGTTCGTTTGGGGTAAAATGTTTCAAAACAATGTTTCCATCACGGTTTGTACAACTATTATATTTTATTAGTATAATATACTAATGTATATACATATATTATGTTCTAAAATAATTACAATAGATATTATGTATTTGTATTGTAATTATTTTAGAATATAACACAATAAAATGCTAAAAATAATAAAAGTAGCATTTAAGTAGGCCTACTCTACTAAATCTCAATAATACACTATATTGACAGACATAATGAGGCGGTTCTCGAGCTTGGGTTTATCGTAGTACGGCCCCAAAATCCGGAAATAACAGGTATTTGCGCTGCGACTTAAACGGATTCACGAGCTCAAGACGTTATAAGCCGCCGACCAAACTGATAGGCTCCACTCAATTAGTGCAGGGATAAAACCTGGTATTAAAAGTTGGGTTCACAAGTCCAATTATAGATAGTCCCGGCTTTCCCTCATTAATCCCGATAGGTTCACAAGTGAATTCCGAGACCAAAGCAGATGGTCCGAGCCCAAAAGAACAAAGATGTTTGAGCTCGAACTCAGACCTGGTAGAAGGCAGGTTTAAGGTGACATCATGCCGGTTTTATCTAATTAGCTCCTTTATTTTTATTATTTTTTAAAAACTAATGTTTAGATATGGTTCCTTATTCAATTCCGAACAATTTTATTACCCACGACGCATATTAAAAAAATATGTAAAAATGGTAAAAAGGCTCATAAAACGTAAAAGAATTCATAAATACCCCCGCCGCAGCAAACCTGCAGACTAAGCGAATTTCCACTTGTCTGATTACATTTTTACAAAAATATTTCTATAAATAAGACATATTTATTCCCAATTTAAATAGCATTAGATTTAACGAGTGCTTAGGTTTGCTGCTACGGGGAAGGTAAAAAGTGTTTTTTGACCAAACGTCAATAGGCTAGTATAGTATGAAAAAAATTTGTCAAATCTTTTTAACATATATCTATTATAAACAAGTAAACTACAACAGTTTTCATTTTCTCCATAAAAATAACATGGGAATTTTAAATTTACACTTTTTTGAATTTTCTCTGTAACCATTAGGCATACAACAATGTTCAATATACTAAATTATTTCTTTTTTTAAGCTCTACAAAATGGTTGGGAAAGATATTCCAAAATTTTATGATTTTAAGGTCAAAAATAGGAAAAAGCCATTTTTACCCCATAAAACCCCCCATAAACCCCCGTTCCCATCGTCCGATCATGCTGGTTCGCAAACTCGTTCGATTAAATGTAGGTTTACACGTTTATACAAAATTTCATCAAAATCGGATAATTTTTGTTCGAGTTATCGTGCTAACGGACACATATATATATATATGAATTTGAACGGATGGTGTTTTTGGCCTCTAGGGACCTCAAAAGGAAAAAGTAATTCGGTCCCGGGTCCAGGTCTTACCATGAGACCTACGGTAATAGCTTAGGCCGGCCACACACAGAACCAGGCAAGGCGGGGCGTGACAGGGCATTTTGCCCCGGGGCGTCTTGTGCGACGGGAATTGCACGGGCGCATATGGAGCTCCACACACAAGACCAGGCGAGGCAGGGCACGTCGAAAAGACGCCCCCGGGCGCCCTCAGGGCAAAATGCGAAGGTCTCCAAAATTATGCCCCGAGGCAAGTCGCTGCCGGGCAGAACTTTCTGCTCATGCGCGTTCATGTGGTTTATTCCCTTACGGGCTAATTTTGATAAGAATTATTTTACAACTGATAAAATTTACATACAAGACTAACAATTAATACGACCAAAGATTACACCCTTTGATAAGACTATACAGTGATGATATTACTACAGTGGTTGAATAACTAATAATTTATCTTGGTATTGATAACTGAGGAAAGAGAGGGCTAACGTTCATATCTTAAGGGTTTAAAAAACCACTCCTCTGGGGGTATGACTTTGAATTTTGTTTTCTACTAGTGTACATGTTGCTCGAATTCGAGCAATTGCAAAGTATTACAGGAGTTATTTCAAAACGAATAACAGTCATATTTACAATGAGTTTAAAAGAGTCAACTCAAAGACAACACAGGCAACACAGGTGATTGATAGAGGGCCAATTGAGAACGGAAAGTCGTGTTGGGGTAGTGTTGGGCCAGGGTCAGGTGCTGAATGTGTTGAGTTAAACACAGAAAACATACTACTAAACCTATTACGCGCCACTGTTCTGTAGTTGCGGTCGTTATCACGATTAAACTCCTGTCTATGTTTCGTTGTCGTCGCGTCGGCGGCATTTAAAAGAAAAAAAAACAACAAATAAACAAATTATATCTACACAAAACAACGATAAATGCACAAATTTAAGTTACAATCATGCTAACACGATCCGTCATAGCGACACAAAACAACGATAAATACACAAATTTAAGATACAACCATACTAACACTATTCGACTTGGGGGTTATGTTTAAACAAACTCAAATATTAAATAAACATACTCAATGTGTTTCATTGGATTGAAAAATAAATAACAGCAGTTAAATTATACAGCTGATCAAAATGTAAACAATTATGTTCTTCATAAGGATAACATGGGAACTTTCAAAGCCACTGGGGCAGAGCCCAAGGGACTTTTTTCAAAAATAAAAGGCCAGTTTGCAAATCTACGCGGCACGCTCTTTCCAATGAGACGTCAATGGATAAAATCGGTTAAGAAATGGCGGAGGAGTTCAACCGACAAAGTTTCATGTAGCGTATTAATTATATAGGTTCTGCTCCCAAGTATAAAGTCAAATTTAAAAGTTGGCTAAATCGGCTCAAGGCTCAGAAATAAAAAATCCTATATTAATTTTCAGGTTTATGGGGGCTAAACTTTTTACTTGACGTGCCCTGCCTCATTCTGTGTGTGACAGCAACAAGACAGGGCTTAAGTCAGGCGTCTCGTCGTGCCCTGTCGCGCCCCGACACGCCTGGTTCTGTGTGTGGCCGGCCTTATTCCCTATATGGGAAATTCGCTAAAACAACTCTAAACGAAAAATAAATTATGCACGTATCAAAGTAGTATAATTACAATGATATTTTTACTGATAAACGTCTTTTTAGCGAATTTTCCTATCTAGGGAAGTAGCTATTACTGTAGGTGGCACGGCAAGACCTAGGCCCGGGACCGATTTACTTTTTCATTTTGATGTCCCCAGAGGTCAAAAACACCGTTCGTTCAAATTTATATATACTGACTTCATGTTTCTGAGAAACTCCATTATCAAGTCACATTTATCATAACCAGAATCATTTATCATTTAATTTAACATTCACAGAAGTGTTAACAAAATAAGAACAAGAAATTAACAATAATAACATCGTGGGTTCGCCCAGACCTGAGATACCCTGTAACATAATTAATTTACATAAACATATTCAATCTTCTTTAGGATTCATTCATTCAGTAGATCTTGAGGGAGCCTTCGTCGTAGCCTCCTGTTCTCAGTTGCTTCACCAAGATTTAAAGCTAGTGCAACAGGAACATTGTTTAAATACTTCAGAAATTTGGAGGTGGTTGTTTCAATAAAGGCCAAGATAGACTCCACTCCTAGCTCTTCATGTATATGCCTGTTTCTAATAAACCAGGAAACATTCGCCGCTATTCTTAGAATTTTGTTTTGGATCACTTGAATTTTGAAGAGTTTGTTTTTTGATATAGTTAATCCCCAGATAGGATTTGCATATGTAATCAAAGGCCTAATTATTGATTTGTAGATTAGAATTGTACAAGCTGGTTTCAGAGTAGATTTCCTATTGATCAAAAGGAAAAGCTTTGAAAGGCGTGCATAACCTTGGGACAGTTTTTTATTGACGTGGTAGTTTCAATTAAGTTTTTTTGTCCAGCCATATCCCAAGATATTTTATGGGCTGGTCATCAGGGTTTCATGGTAGAAAGTTACCATATATTTGAATTTCAAGTGGCAATGTATGTTTTTTCAATGAAAATATTTTGGCCTCACATTTAGTTGAATTTAGGTGAAATTTCCACTTGTAGAACCAGTTGATGAGAACGTCCACAGAGTATTGCAGGGAATATGTGGCCTCGTGAATATCGGAATGTTGGCACAGGATAGCAGTGTCATCAGCGTACAGAGCTAATGAGGCATCTTCTGGAAGAGGGATGTCTGCCATGTACAGATTGAACAGTACAGGGCCCAATATTGATCCTTGTGGAACACCTGCATTGGCTCGTCGAATAGGTGATTTAAAAGAACATATTTTAACAGAGAAGGCCCTCTGACAAAGAAACGATTTTACTATATCGGTTAAATACTTTGTAAATCCAAAACAAAACAATTTTAACAAAAGATTGTCATGCCATACCTTATCAAAGGCCTGAGATATGTCAAGAAATGCCGCTACTGTGTGCTGCTTCCTCTCAAACCCTTTGACTATCGTTTCATAAATGTAAGATTTGATGTATAGGTGAATGTTTTGGCTGAAATCAAAATTGATTAGCAGGAATTATATATGCAGTATGTAATAGGCAATTTGTTTCAGGATGATTTTTTCAAAGACTTTAGAAAGTGAAGACAGCAAGAGCAAGTTGATTGGACGGTAACTTGATGGTGAAGACTTTGGTTTATTGGGTTTATGAATAACTAATATTTCTGCAAGCTTCCAAATAGAAGGGTAGTAAGATTTAGACAAATAAGCATTAATAATTGATGTGAAATATGAAAAGCATCCTGAATGTGACATCCATTTTCCTGATGAAGTCAGAATTGAAGATCAATCACCTCGACGTTCCGCGAAGGGCCAAATACCAGTAGTTTAGGCTCAGCATACTGTATGTGACATCCAGATTTCCAATGAAATGAGAATTGAAGATTAATCACCTCAGTTACGCAGATCAACACGTGTTCGGCAACCGCCAAGTTACCTTGAGGCTTATGTGTGAGCTTAAACTTATGTGGGGAAGATTGTTATAATCTATATAAATAAAACGGTCGTGTTAGTTACACCATTTATAACTCAAGAACGGCTTGACCAATTTTAATGATTTTTGATTTGTTTGATTCGTTTTTCTCTCGATCAACATATATATATATATATATATATATATTGTCCTAGGACGCTAGGCACGAGTCTGGGATTGTTTTTCACATTACTTCAGACTAGACCTAGGGGTTGTGGCATTATCATTTGGATAAAATCCATTGGTGACTTGGCGGGGATCGAACCCGGGACCTCAGGGACTGAAGTCCCACGCTCTAACCCCTACGCCAGCTCGCTCCCCACCGATCGATTAACATATAGGCATATTCAGTTTTAAATTTAACCGTAGTGCTAAGTCCCACTGGCCTGTAAAGTTTGTATGTTAAGCTTATGGAGCTATTGGAAGAATGTAAATAAACAAATATATTAATTGAAGTCAGCTGTAATAGTTGTTTACGCAACGATTGCCTAAAGGTAGTGTTAACGACACGAGTAGAAAATTTAAGGTACGAGCCTTGGCGAGGGCCAACTATATACAGGGTGTCCAGCTTCAACGTGAGAACCATTAATGGGTTATTTGGTAAAAAGGAGGGAGGGTAACAATTAATAATGTTTAATAATATATGGGGTCATTCACTGGTGCAATGATTTACATGTGATAAATTGTATTTTCAACACTCTGAACATAACACATGAATTTTTATCATCAGAAGTACAGGAGAATCCTACAGACACAGCGTTTAAACTATTATTTACACTGTAGCTTAATAGCCAACTTTCTCATGTCTGACACAAGTGGAAACTCAAGCTTAAACGGTCATTCACTGGTGACCTTGTCCTAATACAACAAACACATCAAAACAAAATGCTGGTGGTGGAGATTAGTGATGTGGGCCGGGTAAATACCCAGTGGGTAGGTAAATATAAATTGGGTATTGGGGTAGATACCCAAAAAATGGGCATTTATAATTTTTATTAAAGTTAAAAATGATTGAGATTTTTTTGCAATTATTACCCTGTAAGGATAGTAAAATGATGATAAAATGAGCTAAACAAAATTTCATATGGTCACTACTAGCATTGTACTTCTGGGTATAATCGCTATAAATACCCAGGTCTGAGCATAAAGCATATAAGGCATATAAATACCCTGGTCGCATGGTTGCACTGGTCCTGACTACTTATGTTTTTTTAATTTCTATGATAGATAGATGAATTTATTTTATTGAAAGTGAAGAAAAATAATTTATTAAGTAATAATTATTATTTAGAAAGACAAGAACGTTTAACCTAGTAGTGGCCTTTGTGTAAACAACTTAAGAAAATAATTAAAATTCAATCTGTAGGATGGCAGGATTTAATAATATTTTTGTTCTAGATCTTTTGTTGGTATCGATGGTATCAAAATAAAAAAAAAAACTAATTTCATAAACTTGTGATACAAAACATTTGAATCTATAGCACAATAAATCTTTCAAAATTATATTAAGTTAGACCAAAAACAGGAGATACATTTTTTTAGTAGGTTTATCCAAATATATTATTGTTTCCAACTAAGCGGTAACACAGAAAAGTTAAATTACTTTTAGTATTCTGCCATTCTGCCTATGTCAATCCTAAGGCCTTAGGACTGTCTAGCCAGCCATTTATACAGTAAAAAAATAACTAGGCCTATCATCCTAATATCACCACTGGAAAGTTCAATGACATAGGTTATACCATATTATTTTAATATTTTCCGTGGGGGTGGTTTAATAACAGTAGAAGTAGGTTTAGGTTCTCTATTTCTCTGATGAGGTGTTGTCTTGATTTCATAAAAAAATTGCTAAATCATTTAATAATAGGTACTAGCAAAGCTTCAAGTAGCCTAACTGTAAAAGCTGTTACATACTCTCCAAATTTATCATGTAATGATAACAATAACATAATAACATTAGTACTAACTGCTGCAACACATGGTCCAGACAAAATGTCTCTTGAAGTAAATTCTGGAAACTTTTGTTTATTGTGAATTGATAATTTATTTAGTTTGTATACAGATACGCATATGGTTACAACATTGTCAAGAATCAGTCACTACCTCATTCAGTGGAGCTCCTTGCCTTGACGGACCGCTGGGTGATGAAGGCCATGAGTAATGACCTGGCCAACCACATCTCCTCCCTCCTCACACCAATCAACGTCTGCCTGGCGATGACAGACCCAGTCTGCCTCAGAGTCAAGCGGGTTGAGGATGAAATTGCAAGGGTAAATCACATACTGTAAAACTAATATTGTTTCATCAAGGGCCTTTGACAACCCGAGATACTTAATTTTAATACAGCACCAACAAAAGTTGTTCTCAAATTAAGGTTTTCAACAAGCACTAGTCGTGGCAAAGTGAAATAATTCAAATCCCTTGGAAAAAAGTAAAAATTCCAATGCTAAACTTCAAAGCAAGTGAGCGCAGCGAACGAGCTCCAAACTAAAAGTAAGTAAGCGTAGCAAACGAACTTCAACCAGGATGTGATAGAGCGATGCAAATGAGCTCATCTTGAAAATGAACTCATCTTGACATAAAACCACATTAGGACAGGACGACGTCTGTCAGGCCAGCTAGTGATGAAGTAAAAACCTTTATGTCAGTTGGTTAAATGGATTTTAAAACATATGTTAAAGATTTATTCTAAACTTTTTTTGTAAATTTACTAACATTTATATTTAAGGTTATGTTTTTAGGAAAAAGCATTTAGCTTGGATTAAATAAATAAATATAGGATGGAGAGGACACAGCTAACTCACCTGATGAAAGGTTGCAGATGAGTCAAAGAACACATAAAATCACACACATAATTTACTTAATATTTCGCCTCTTTCAGAGGCTTCTTCAGAAGTAGGCCTAGATGGTAGTTACAAAACAACAGTTTAAATAGGATGACACAGTTTGAATTCAAAATGTCTGACAGGTTGTCCAACTGACACTGCACAAAGCACTAAATACAGGCACATTGCAATATTGTATTTACATATAATATGTACATTGAAAAGCAAATTAGTTTTGTCCATGAAAATAAATACTTAAAGAGTTAGCTGTGAGGGTGAGGATATGAGGATATTATCTAATGTTGAGGTTAGGTGGGGTTCTGGAGTTGGTCACAAACTGGTAAGCTAATTCCCATCTTCTGAGCATTGAACTATTGCATTGGTTCTTTGGCAATGATTTTAGAGCTTTTATGGTGAAACAGTCATCAAATAGAAGTTGGTGGGATAAGGCATGTTGTGCAACTGGTTTTTCTTTGCTAGTTTTAACATCATGTCGATGGCCGTTCATGCGTTTTCGGAGAGTCTCGGTTGTTAGGCCTATGTACTGGGCTGGACAATGTGAACATTGAAGCTGGTAGATAAGGTTCTCTGAGCTGCAGGTATGATGGCCTTGGATTCTGTAATTTTTATTATGGTATGTGCTGGTAAAAGTTTCTGTAGGATGGTGTATCTGGCAAGATTTACATCGGTTTTCATTGCATGGGTATGAGCCCGGTCTTGGTTTCTCAGATGGTATTTTTGATGGATTTGGGAGTTTTGGGTGGACTAGCATATTCCTCAAATTTGGGGGTTGCCTATAGATTATGGAAGGGGCTCTTGAAAGGAGGTTTTTGGTTTGGCTGGAGGACTCTAGGATTTTGAAACCTGTTTTAAGGAGGTTGTTTAGTTGTTGCAGGCCAGGGTGGTAAGTGGTTATCAAATTTACTTGAAGATGGTTGGTATTTTTCTTTGTAGTTGGACGTGGGTTCTGAGCCGCTTGGATCTGAGATTTTACGAGAGTGCTAGGATAGCCTCGGTTTTCGAAGGCTTTTTGAAGTTGGGTTTGGTATTGTGTACGGTCTTTCGGTTCTGAAATTAGGCGATTTCCCCTTAGGGCAAGACTGTAAGGAAGTGATCTCTTGGTGTTATTCGGATGACAACTAGAAAAATGGAGGTATTGTTGGTGGTTGGTCGGTTTTATGTGGATAGATGTGGTGAGGCTATTGTTCCTTAGATGAATTGTAAGGTCTAAAAAGTTGATGGAAATCTCAGAGAAATCCCAGGTGAAATTTAGCGGTCCAAAACTGTTGAGGTCTTCCAGGAACTTCCGTAGTGATTCTTCACCGTGGGTCCAAATTATGAAAATATCGTCAATGTATCTAAACCAGCAGATGGGGAGGTGTTCACGGCTAGACAAAAACTTTTCTTCATAATTCCCCATGTAGAGATTAGCATAAGATGGGGCCATTCTTGTACCCATGGCAGTGCCCTTGATCTGTAGGAAGTGTTTGTCCTGAAATTGGAAATAGTTCTTTTCCAGAATGAATTTTATCAGTTGAGTTATAAACGAAGTGGTGGGTAGGGATCCTTTGGGTCTGTTTTGAAGGTAGTTTTCTGTTGCTGTTAGGCCGTGGACATGAGGTATGTTTGTGTAGAGTGAGGTGACATCAATAGTGGCCATGAGAGTGTTAGCGGGCTAACACTCTCATGGCCACTATTGATGTCACCTCACTCTACACAAACATACCTCATGTCCACGGCCTAACAGCAACAGAAAACTACCTTCAAAACAGACCCAAAGGATCCCTACCCACCACTTCGTTTATAACTCAACTGATAAAATTCATTCTGGAAAAGAACTATTTCCAATTTCAGGACAAACACTTCCTACAGATCAAGGGCACTGCCATGGGTACAAGAATGGCCCCATCTTATGCTAATCTCTACATGGGGAATTATGAAGAAAAGTTTTTGTCTAGCCGTGAACACCTCCCCATCTGCTGGTTTAGATACATTGACGATATTTTCATAATTTGGACCCACGGTGAAGAATCACTACGGAAGTTCCTGGAAGACCTCAACAGTTTTGGACCGCTAAATTTCACCTGGGATTTCTCTGAGATTTCCATAAACTTTTTAGACCTTACAATTCATCTAAGGAACAATAGCCTCACCACATCTATCCACATAAAACCGACCAACCACCAACAATACCTCCATTTTTCTAGTTGTCATCCGAATAACACCAAGAGATCACTTCCTTACAGTCTTGCCCTAAGGGGAAATCGCCTAATTTCAGAACCGAAAGACCGTACACAATACCAAACCCAACTTCAAAAAGCCTTCGAAAACCGAGGCTATCCTAGCACTCTCGTAAAATCTCAGATCCAAGCGGCTCAGAACCCACGTCCAACTACAAAGAAAAATACCAACCATCTTCAAGTAAATTTGATAACCACTTACCACCCTGGCCTGCAACAACTAAACAACCTCCTTAAAACAGGTTTCAAAATCCTAGAGTCCTCCAGCCAAACCAAAAACCTCCTTTCAAGAGCCCCTTCCATAATCTATAGGCAACCCCCAAATTTGAGGAATATGCTAGTCCACCCAAAACTCCCAAATCCATCAAAAATACCATCTGAGAAACCAAGACCGGGCTCATACCCATGCAATGAAAACCGATGTAAATCTTGCCAGATACACCATCCTACAGAAACTTTTACCAGCACATACCATAATAAAAATTACAGAATCCAAGGCCATCATACCTGCAGCTCAGAGAACCTTATCTACCAGCTTCAATGTTCACATTGTCCAGCCCAGTACATAGGCCTAACAACCGAGACTCTCCGAAAACGCATGAACGGCCATCGACATGATGTTAAAACTAGCAAAGAAAAACCAGTTGCACAACATGCCTTATCCCACCAACTTCTATTTGATGACTGTTTCACCATAAAAGCTCTAAAATCATTGCCAAAGAACCAATGCAATAGTTCAATGCTCAGAAGATGGGAATTAGCTTACCAGTTTGTGACCAACTCCAGAACCCCACCTAACCTCAACATTAGATAATATCCTCATATCCTCACCCTCACAGCTAACTCTTTAAGTATTTATTTTCATGGACAAAACTAATTTGCTTTTCAATGTACATATTATATGTAAATACAATATTGCAATGTGCCTGTATTTAGTGCTTTGTGCAGTGTCAGTTGGACAACCTGTCAGACATTTTGAATTCAAACTGTGTCATCCTATTTAAACTGTTGTTTTGTAACTACCATCTAGGCCTACTTCTGAAGAAGCCTCTGAAAGAGGCGAAATATTAAGTAAATTATGTGTGTGATTTTATGTGTTCTTTGACTCATCTGCAACCTTTCATCAGGTGAGTTAGCTGTGTCCTCTCCATCCTATATTTATTTATTTAACATTTATATTTGAGATTTATTGTAGTGTTTAATCAATCTTTTGTATGAAGTGGAATAGCCTCAATGGCCAATCTTAAAAACAACCTGGGAATAAAGATGAAATAGGTAGGTTCCTCCATACAGGTATTTGTTCATTATAAGTAAGTACTATGACAAGTTCCAATGGGCGGAAAAAAACAATATTGTTTGGAGGGGATTTTAACCAGGTACTGCCTGTTGCTCCAAGCAAAAAACGTTCAAATAATATAGCCTAGCAAGCACGGTAGTAAAGGGAGCATCCATATATAACGGTTAAACCTAGAGGTAGTTTCTGTTTCTTAAAACTAACCAAAAATATGCATGTCGAAGATTCTGCTGAAAAGTAATTTTGAGATTGGTTTTGATTACTGGGTAATGGAACCCTAACCAGTCGCAAACTGGTAAGTAATCAGGCATTGATTAAGCCTTTTTTTGATAGAATATGTAAAGTCAATCGCACCTTAAGGAGGAATACCACCACATAAACTTACACTAGGTTAATAGTAGTTTATTTAAATGTTGATCAGAAATGGTTAAGTTTGGTCAATTGGATGCCTTTACTTTACAGTAGTTTTGTTAAACCATTACAAAAGGAGCATAAACTTAGAAATAATAACTGGTAGTACAGGTAAAACTCTCCCAAGAAAAAAAAAAAAAAAAAAAAAAAATAGTCTGTTTATGAAACTTGCAGGAAACGTAGTACTTACCATTAGGTTTTGAAAACTGAAGAGTCCCTAGTGATTGTGGGGGACGGGGGTGGAAGTACTATTTTATAGTGGTTAAAGTTTATGGGGGTAGTGATTTTGAAAACACTTTTATAGATGAGTGAACGAAGTGAACGAATCTATGTATCGTGTATAGCGGAGTCGGAGAAAATTTGTCCGCTTGTCCGTGTGTGTGTGTGTGTTCGCACCAAAAACTCAAGAACCGTCGCACTTATAGCGTTCAAATTTTGCAAAAATTATTATGGCACCAGTGGGAAGACACCATTAAAATTCTAGACGATTCCGCTCAGTA